TCATCGAGACCTTTCGTTTGAGTACCCACATCAATTTTTCATATATTTATATATATTATATATATGTATATATGAAAAATATATAAAAATGTATGTGGGTACTCAAATGAAAGCTCTTGATGTGTGTAACTTTGGGATGAGCTTATATCTTTAAAAATGTCAATTGTTAAGAAATGACCTTGTATCTTGAGAACTATTGACATTTTTAAAGATATAAGCTCACGTCAACGTTACACTTATCGAGAGCTTTCATTTGAGTACCTACATCAATTTTTCATATATTTTATATATTTATATATATCACATATATGTATATATGAAAAATATATAAAAAATGCATGTGGGTACTCAAATGAAAGCTCTTGATGTGTGTAACTTTGGGATGAGCTTATATCTTTAAAAATGTCAATATTTAAAAAAATACAGTTCAATTTAACAAAAAGTATTATTTATTAAACTAAAATTTTATTTATTTATAGTTCACAAGTCACAGCAGTCACATAGTGACTGCACGGTTGCTAGTTTTATTTTAATTAATTTTAGTATCATTAAGTGTCTTCAAATTTCAATGTAATATATTTACCTTATAATATTTCCCATAGAACAAGGAATTCCAAATTTAACCAGAGCTTTTCCTTTGAGTTGTTTCTCCGTCAAGAAAGGGTATCTCACTTTCAACAGCGCAATTTCCCTTTGAATGATATTGTGCCAATTATCACCTGTTGGAACTTTGACAATAGCCTTATTAACCCACTTGTCAACGACATCAAAGCACTTATTTCCACACTTAGCATAATTATTAAATTTTAATCTCGGTTTCACATCATTAGCGTCTTCTGAATAGCAGACATCATCATGCTCGACTTTAATAGCCATTAATTTTTTATTAAAATCCAAATCACAATCCATCATTATAATTAGTACTGTCTGTTATTAGCTTCTTTTTATTAATAATAATTCATGCAAATGTTATAAACATTCCACAAGCTTTAGATAATTTTCTTAACTCTTACTTACGTCGCAGCTTCGTCCCTTTGTTTCCTAGTTACGCCGTTAATATTATTAACCGTTAAAACACTTGCTGCCAAAAAATAGTTGAAGGTTTTGAATTTGTGGCCATCTAGCGGCAGTCGGAGAAATTAATTTTATTGCTAAAAAAAATAACGGTTACCTTTATTACTAAAAATTAAACTATTCTAAAATAAATGTTTTAATAATAAAACATTTATTGTTCACAAAAAAATTTTGTGAAGTTAAATATATAAATAAACAGTAATTTAATTAAATAAAAAGAAAATAAAGTAAATATAAAGAAGAAATAAATTTTTTAACAAAGTGATAAAGTTTTTTTAATTGACATTTTTTTAAAAGAAAAATTAAAAAATAATTTTTTTCATAAGAAAAAAAAATTAAATAATTTTGTGAAGTTATAAATAAATAATAATTTAATTAATTAAAAAAATTAAATAAAAGTAAACACAAAGAAGAAATAAATTTTTTAACAAAGTGATAAAGTTTTTTAAATTGACATTTTTAAAACTAAAATTAGAAAATAATTTTAAAATAAATATTTTAATAATAAAATAAAAATAAAAAAATTTAGTGAAGTTAAATAAAAAAAAGATAATTATTTAATTAATTAAAAAGAAAATAAAAGTAAAAATACAAAGGAGAAATAAATTTTACAACAAAGTTTTTTTAATTGACATTTTTTTAAAACTAAAATTAAAAAATAATTTTTTTACTAAGAAAAAAAAATTAAAAAATAATTTTTTTAATAAAAAAAATCATAATAAAAGAATTTTGTGAAGTTAAATAAACAAAAATTAATAATTTAATTAATTAAAAAGAAATTGAAAGTAAAAATACAAAAAAGAAATAAATTTCATAACAAAGTGATAAAGTTATTTTAATTGACATTTAAAAAACTAAAATAATAAAACTTTCAATAAAAATAAATATTTAAAAAAATCTAGAACGCAATTTTACTTATAAATTCATAAATTCTATAACTTACGTTCGCATTTGTAATAAAAGATTTCAAAGTAGATAAATTCTAACCAACTGGCATGACTATCTCCACCAAGATCATGTAATGAGTGTAAAGTTGTAAAGAATCATACTTCTGAAGAAGATATTAAATGATTATATATCCGTGAAATTATACTTTATTTATTTCTTCATTCTATTTATCTTCTTCATACGTAAAGGGCCAGTTTTATTTATAGTAATTTAAAAGAAGACTATAAATTTATTTGCCTGAAAATCAGAGCTTGGATTTCGTCGAGGTGTAATATTTAGAGAGGGAACAAGGGTCCCCGCCGAGGTGTAAATCCCCACCTAACAACTTTTTCCAGTGTTTGAGAAAAGAAGCTGTGCGAAGAGATCCCGGAGTTATTTCATTCTCAGATCTGCGCGTCGACGCGTAGCTTCGAATCTTAAGTAAAATAATTTATTTTAATTTGTTTATTTAAATTATCCGAGTTTTAAAACTAAATTTTAATTTCCTTGAATAATTTTTAGGTGAATAATCAAGAAAATAAAAATAATTATCAAGAATTTTGATAATCTTACTTTAAGTCTTTAAACAAAGTGAAAGTGATTGTGAAGAAAGTAATTTAATTAAAACTAATGATCATTAATCTGTTATTGATTTTTAAATAATTAAATTGACAAAGTGTAAATATTAAAATAATTAATAATGTGAGTGTTGTTAAATTGGTGTGTGATGTGGAGCAAAATAGTTATTAAAAATCATGACTTGGGCTTCAATAGAAAGAGACGTTAACAAAAAACTAATCCCTCGGTTGGTTGATCCATTTTTTTCTAGTTTAACTTGTCCAGGTGAGGATAAAAAAACAAGTGAACATAAAAATATAAGTAACATAAGTGATGAGACACGTGCGAGGTAGTAAATCCCAGTGAACGGGAAGCTGACATACCAGTTTCCATAGTTTTTATTACACCCTTAGGACATACTTAGTGCATCTAAGTTTTAAAGCAGCTCAAGAATGCCGCGGACTTCAAGATCTCTCCAGCCGATTGAGGAGTCTAACTCTGCTAAGTCCAGTATGTCGTTAATTATTTTTATTAAAAGCTAATTTTAATTTCTTCACAGATTTCTTCCTAAAAAATAAAATGAAAATTAAGATGATATTAAAGTTAGCCGACGTTTTTGATTTTTTTTTAATAATTAAATCAAAACAGAAAAATATTTTTAAAAAATTTCACTTACAGTTTTTGAAGTTTTTTACAAGTGACATTTTTTTTTTAATTTTTTTGTCGGCGTTTAAAATAATAACATAATTTATGGAGCAATTGTTGTGGTTGGATTTAAGTAATTCCGATCAATATGATTCGCACGAGTTAACATAATACAATTCTTTTGAGTATTAATTTAATAAATTGATAGTGGTATAATAATAATAGAGCTAAGATTGTGATAAATAAAAATACTTCCGTGAAAACAAAAAGAGAAAGTAAACTGAAATAATATGTATATTACTATAATAATTAGCGCAAGATATAAAACCCGGAGATGCTCGGTATTTTATTTTGTAATGAGATAATTGCATGAAAATTAATTGAGCACATATTTAATAATTTTTAAAATTTTATAACAAATAAATTTTGGCAAAAAATAGAAATTAAAAAAAATAAAAAATGTAATTTTTTAATGACAAAAATTTTTTAATTTTATTTATCAAAAAAATTTGTTCCAAAAATTATTTTTAAAAAAATGCATTTTTTATTTATTAAAATTTCTACAAGTCCATTTTTTTTTTAATAATTTTTTTTTGCTATAAATAAGAAAAGAAAATTAAAAAAATTCTCAAGTGACAGCTAAATTTAATGTCATAATTTTTTGAAAATAATTTTTTTGAATAAATCTTTTTGTTAAATAAAATTATAAAATTGTCAAGTGACAGCTTGAATGTCATAATTAAATAATTGCTTGTATAAAGTAAAATTTAAGACAATAAATAATGTATATTTATTTTTATGATACTATAATTAGCCGAGGTTAAAAAATTTTTGATTTTTTTTTTATTAATTAAATTATAAAAAAAAAATTCCACATGCAAAAAATTTGAAAAACTATCCGTGCAATTTTTTAAAAATATTTTTTTATTGTTAATTCAATTAATAAAAAAAATTTTTCGTTGTCGGCTAATTTAATTTTCATTTATTTGTATAATACTAAAGTTAACCGAGGATTTTAATTTTTTTTCAATAATTAAATTAGAACAAAAAAATATTTTTAAAAAATTGCACGGATAGTTTTTCAAATTTTTTGCATGTGGAATTTTTTTTTTATAATTTAATTAATAAAAAAAAAATCAAAAATTTTTTAACCTCGGCTAATTATAGTATCATAAAAATAAATATACATTATTTATTGTCTTAAATTTTACTTTATACAAGCAATTATTTAATTATGACATTCAAGCTGTCACTTGACAATTTTATAATTTTATTTAACAAAAAGATTTATTCAAAAAAATTATTTTCAAAAAATTATGACATTAAATTTAGCTGTCACTTGAGAATTTTTTTAATTTTCTTTTCTTATTTATAGCAAAAAAAAATTATTAAAAAAAAAATGGACTTGTAGAAATTTTAATAAATAAAAAATGCATTTTTTTAAAAATAATTTTTGGAACAAATTTTTTTGATAAATAAAATTAAAAAATTTTTGTCATTAAAAAATTACATTTTTTATTTTTTTTAATTTCTATTTTTTGCCAAAATTTATTTGTTATAAAATTTTAAAAATTATTAAATATGTGCTCAATTAATTTTCATGCAATTATCTCATTACAAAATAAAATACCGAGCATCTCCGGGTTTTATATCTTGCGCTAATTATTATAGTAATATACATATTATTTCAGTTTACTTTCTCTTTTTGTTTTCACGGAAGTATTTTTATTTATCACAATCTTAGCTCTATTATTATTATACCACTATCAATTTATTAAATTAATACTCAAAAGAATTGTATTATGTTAACTCGTGCGAATCATATTGATCGGAATTACTTAAATCCAACCACAACAATTGCTCCATAAATTATGTTATTATTTTAAACGCCGTCAAATTAAATCTTTATAAAACCAATCTGAAAGTGAACAAAATAGCATACAACAATTATTCTAAAAAGTATTTACCGTTAAGTCTAAATAAAATATATTTTCTATGTTATATGCAAATAAAATTAGAAATTTTGTAACTTGAAGAATTTATTTTGTCTTTGCTGAGTGTTGAAGAATTTAAGGATAAATAATAAAATTGGTATTGGTCCAAACGTCCATTGCTAGTGAAAACGATGCCGTGTTCCGTTAATACTCAAGACTTTCTCAATTGACTGTGGATCATCTTCGTAGCACGAGAATGTTCTAGCCATTTATTTAACCACGCGTGCTAAGTCTGAGATCTTGATCTCCATTTTTATTAAAATATAATCAATCGAAGACAAGAAATAAATAATTATTAGTGCTAAGATTTTTGCTGCAAATTTTAAAATTGCAATTCATAATTAATGGTTCTAATTTTTAATATTACAGTGAATATATTGGTCCTATAAACAGTTTCTTAGATAAAAGTTGTTCAAAATTGAATTTTATAAAAACAATGTCTCTTATAATTTTTTTTTTTAGGACCTATCAGAAAGCTGTAATTTCAAAATTAAAATTTTTACTAGCAACCTTGCAATCACTATATTGTGACTGCCGTGACTAGTGAACTATAAATGAATAAAATATTGCTTTATTAAATAATGACTTTTATTAAATTGCACTGTACTTTCTTAAATATTAACGTTTTTAAAGATATAAGCTCATTTTGATGTTACACTCATCAAGAGCTTTCATTTAAGTACTCACATGCATTTTTGATATATTTTTCATATATACATATATATAATATATATAAATATATGAAAAATTAATGTGGGTACTCAAATGAGAAGTCATGATGAGTGTAATGTCAGGATGAGCTTATATCTTCAAAAATGTTAATATTTCACAAGATATTTGTTAAAATTGCACTGTACTTTCTTAACTATTGAAGTTTTTAAAGATATAAGCTCATTCCGATATTACACTCATCAAGAGCTTTCATTTGAATACCCACATGCATTTTTGATATATTTTTCATATATACATATATGTAATATATATAAATATATGAAAAATTGATATGGGTACTCAAACGAAAGGTCTTGATGAATGTAATATCAGGATGAACTTATATCTTCAAAAATGTCAATAGTTTACAAGATACAAGGTCATTTCTTAATTATGTATCTAGAGATAGAGCATTTTTGAATGCAGCTTAAATACTTATCATCATAAATTCACTATCTTCAAAAATGATATGAAACCTTGAAAAAGCACAAATTCAAATCAAGACCTTTGCAATGACTCTAAATTTCACTAAAAAACCGATTTTTTCATATGACTATTCTGGAGACAACATTTTTGTTATTTTCTTAATAATTTAGATAATTAGCAAAAAATTTGAATCTTTTACTTTGAATCTTAATTTTAGAAAAATAGCTAAAATATAGGTTTTTTTTTTAAAGAAATCATGAGACATTTTTTGTAGAAAATTAAATTTTGAACAACTTTTGTTCAAAAAATTTTATTATAGGATCAATATTTTCTCCGTAATATTAAAAATTTGATTTTAAAATTGCAGCTAAAATTTTATCGAACAATAAATAATAAATAATAATTTATTTCTTAACTGTACCTTGTTGATAACTACCTTTTATCATACGACTTTTCATTATCACATATCATGAATATCAAGGCGTATCGCTTAAATGCGTTTCAATATATAATTTACTAGCCTACTTTGTAGAGATTTAATAAAAATGATGAATATCTTTACTTTCAGTCAGCAATTTAATGAAGTTTGTCGCATGATATAGATAGCCAGGCATCAAGCAGGTTTATTAATGAAAAATCTATCACAGGAAATACCCGTCAGCAAACAATTTTTTTCCCATCGTTAAAGACGATGAATAATAAATCCCGAAGGAAATTTTTTTTTCATTAATTATACATTTCACACCAGCTGTTCAATAAATTACATTAATGACCGGTTATATATGATTTCCAATCCACTTTCTTGAAAAATCAACTCAAGTATTGCACTCTGACTCGGACATTAAATTATTCCAACTCTAATTATTAATAAAAATTATTTTTATTGTTTTCTGGAAACCGGTGACCTAAAAACAATTTTAATATCAATTAAATCTATAAAAAAGTTCATTTAAAGCCAATAATTGTTTATTGAAACAAGCTAATGATAAAAAATTAAATAATAATGCATATCATGATAACAATTACATGTCTTCAACTATAATTTAATATTATTATTAATTTTAATTAAAATAATCAACATGTTGAGGTAAATTATAATCCGCATCAATGGTTATCATGATCCAGCGGATCTTCGCAGCCCAGCTGTTGCAATTTTTCAACTCAATCCGTAATTAATAACATAAATTAGCTTGTAAGCATTTAATTTTTTTAATCGCTTGACACTAATGCCCGACTTGAGTCGCTTGTAAATAAATACAGGATTTGCTTCATCAGAGCCCAGATGCTCGTCATCTGCTCTTTGAATACATTCTGCGACAATGGATCCTTCAGCGTGATTAATCATTAATCATTATTATCATCACTACCTAAAAAAGTCACTCGTCATTCATTTTATATCTCAGGTCATTATGATATCTTCATGAAGAATTCTATACAATTATAATCATTAGTAGCGAAAAGATTTTTGCCGCGAATTTAATGTAACAATTTGTAATTAATGCAAATTTTTGATATTACGGCGAGAATATTGCTCCTATGAAATATAATTGGGACAAAAAGTGTTCAAAATTTAAATTTCTACAAAAAATGTCATAATTTTATAAAAAAATCAATATTGTTGTTGTAATTTCAAAAGTAAGATTTATAATCATCAAAAAATTTGAACTTTTCATTATGAATTTTAATTTTGAAGTTGGAAAAGTCTTGACCTGGGGTTTTGCCTTTTCAAGGTTTCATTTCATTCTCACCAATAGTCAATTTATGATGATAATTATTCAGGGTGCATTCAAAAATGCTCTATTTCTACATACATAATTAGGAAATGACCTTGTATCTTGTGAACTATTGACATTTTTAAAGATATAAGCTCATCCCGATGTTACACTCATCGAGACCTTTCATTTGAGTACTCACATCAATTTTTTTTTATATATATATATTATATATTTTATATATGAAAATATATCTGAGATGCATGTGGGTACTCAAATGAAAGCTCTTGATGAGTGTAACATCGAAATGAGCTTATATCTTTAAAAACGTCGATAGTTAAGAAAGTACAGTGCAATTTAACAAATATCTTGTGAAATATTGACATTTTTAAATATATAAGCTCACCCCGACATTGTACTCCTCGAGACCTTTCATTTGAGTACCCACATTAACTTTTCATATATTTGATATATTTATATATATGTATATATGAAAAATATATCAAAAATGCATGTGGGTACTCAAACGAAAGCTCTTGATGAGTGTAACATCGGGATGAGCTTATATTTTTAATATATATATTATATATTTGTATATATGAAAAATATAACAAAAATGCATGTGAAACATGCATAAAAAAAATTTTTCTTATAAAATTAAACATCAAACAACTTTTGTTCTAAAAATTTTTTTATAGGACCAATATTTTCGCTTTAATATTAAAAACAACCCATATATATTTAAAAATTGCGACAAATTATTTAAAATTTCGTCTCTAATGATTATAATTAAAATTACCTATTTTTCTTTACACCTTGGCAATAATCTTAAAAAATTTAAGTATTTGAATCCGCTTCGAATGTTAATTGTTTGGAAAGTTTTGTTTACGCACACGGGTCACGATCGAGCTAGATCTATTTGATCGGCTCCCACTACTCCCGGTTCCTTGTATTGTTTCCGGAATATTGAGACCAGTTTCTCTAGTGATTGCCCAAGAAGGCAAGACGTACAATCGCGGAAATATTTCTTCTCAAAAATTTTCCCTAAAAAGATTTTTCTTCAATTAAAACAGTATTCTAAAATTAATAACAAGCCTATTAAAATAGCGAAAGAATTGAGTGCTCACGTAACAAAAAATTCCTACTGTAAATTTAACTTGTACGTGACTTCCTTTGGCACAATTTATCCAAAGTTAACATCTTGGACAATGGTAGCGGAATTAGCGGGCATTCCGGTAGTTGTCAGCGGTAAAGACAAGTCATCATCTGGATTGACCGAGTCTTGTGAATCAGAAGCGAGTGAAGAAAAAAATAACCGGCCAAGATGGATTAGAACAGCAACGCGTGATCCTGTTTACACAGTTCTTGACCATCGAAATCCCATTTATAAAAATAACAACAACAACAAGTGCTTGGAAATAGCTATAAGTGCTGTAATTGTGAAAAGTGAAGAAGAAATTGAAGATTTAGAGCCGCTGTACAGTGTTGTTAACAAGCCGTCAAAGCTTGACGTTAATTTGACCAAAGAAGAAAAGGTAAGAGAAGAAATACTGAGCAAGCAGCTAGAACTTCACAAGTGGCTTGAGTCAGGAGTGGCTGAAGAAATATTAATGGAAGAAAAACCGGACCCTTGGGCAGCTCCGGGGATCTCTGTACCCCGAGGCGTAATTGGAGTCGTCGGACCTTATGGCAGGGCTTACATAAATCCCAATGAAAAGCGCGAGTTTATGCTTGAAGAAGAGCTCGAAGAGGTTGAAAATATTTCAATGCGCGAAGACATTTCTACTGCCGTTGACTCTATTGACGGGAGATACAAGTCTGAAGATGATAAAGACAGTCACATTGTGAAGAAAGAGATCAATCGCAGACCCAAGTGGAGGGTTATCAGTGAGATTGATGAAGAAGAAATAATTAAAGAGATTACTATGGATAAAGAAACTCTTGATTCTCACCAAGAAATCGATGATATCTACGGTGATAAACTGCCGAAATATATTCCTAAAGACAATTATGATAACGGTAAGAATTGCAATGGAATCTGGAATATAAATTTATATTTTAAATTTTACTATTTAAACTCTACACGTGTTACGGTACTTAGTGCTACTGTAGTCGGAGATATGTAAGTACCGGTAGAAAAATCAAGGCGTGCATAAACAAAATTTTGACGCCACTCTATCATTGTTTGCCATTTTAATATTCCTAGGAGATTTTTTTGCTATGAATATTTATTACAGACTGGAATGTAAGTGGTTATTTGCATTTGAGAAGAAAACTTGGAATTTTAAACCATGACCTTCTTCAACTTTTTAGAGGTTTTTTTTGGATAAAAAATGGTCATAAGAATTTTATTTAGCTTTTTTGTTGTTAAATAAATCGGTAAATCGGTAACCGGACTCTATATCCGCGGACAAAATATCCTTAAGACAAAAAATCAGCGGGATAAAATATCTATGGATAAAAAATTGTTGTGTATAATTTTCCGAAATTAAAAAACATTTTTATTATTTATTTTAATTAATATTTAAGTTCTCGTCCGTAATCAAAATGTTTCAAATAATTTAATCTTGGAAATTTTGGACAATTTTTATATTAAATTTAAAAATTAAAAGAAACAAAATATTTTACTTTTTTGTGAATTTCGTAAAATTTATTTACTAGGACTTAAAAAAATTTGAAGTAAACAATTTTATATTAAACAACAAATCTTGGAAAAAATGCAACATTTCGTTGGCTTTATTTCCAACTTCTTCACTTCATTTTTTAAAAATTTAACATCTTATTGCTATTTTCCACGTTCCCAAAATTTATTGTTTAATATTTTCAAAATATGGATGAGAATCTACAAAGCAATTTCTATTTTATTTTTTTTTATATATTTTTTTTTTTGAAAAGTACATAAAAAAAATCGTGAAAATTTAAATAAACATCAAATAAAGATTTCCATTAAACTGTGAATTGTTATATTATTGAATAATTATGGATATGAACAACAATACAATGTACATAAAAAAAATAAACAATTTGATAAAAAAAAAAATTTTAACATGGGTTGACCCAACTTGTAAATAATTACTAAAAATTCAAGTAATTGATATGATTATTTATGATTTTCGGAAATTAAAAAACATTTAGTAAATTTAAAAATTAAAAGAAACAATTTTGGAACGTACTTGATGAAGAAATGAACTCGGAATTTCATACCATGACCTTCTTCAATCTTTTAAAGATTTTTTTTTGTATAAAAAATTATCATAAGAATTTACTTAAACTTTTCTGTTATTAAAATAAATTGTTTCTTCATGGAAATTAAATGAAGTAGATTAAATAATAATACAGAATGAAGTAAATTAAATTTTTAGATCAAACTATTAAATATTTGAGCCCTTTTGGACTATTTACAATCACTTTATATCAATTTTAATTGTAGTTTCTTTTTTAAAGGACAATAAAAAAAATTTTAAACATCAAATTTAATTTGAAATTAGGGAAAGTTCGGTTCTATTTATAAATTTTTATCGGAAGATAATAAAAAGAGAAGCGGTTGACCTAAATCGCTTTAAATCTCGGGTTGTGCGGTAAACAAGTACTTTCTTCTTCTTATCACAGTTTAAATTAAAGTTATCCTGATTGAATAATAAATTGATGAAGAATATTCCACAAAATCAATTAGATCCGAATCTCTGCGAGTAAATAATTGAATTATTCACCCGAGTCCTGATTTTCTGTAAATATTATTCCGTTACGACATCTGCCGTTACGTATTAAGCGATTCAGTGTCGTTAGACAGAAGCCCGGATGATGATAATGGTCCAATCATGACTTAGGTAGATTTTAAACGCTTCTGCAATTACAGTTAGAATCCAATCTGCTCTTCAATTGGCACGTGTTCCTTTCACAATCAGTTCTGCTCCTGAAATATATATATTTAGTTTCATTTCAATATTCATATGGTAATTTATATTGGGTTTTTATTTAAATAAGTGAGTACTAGTTTCTTAATGGACTTGTCGTTTCCTGATAAGCCGGTTATGTTGGTGGTTTATGGAAGAAATAGTTGAGACTGTTGAAAATCTGGAGACTTCAATGCTCCTCAGTCTGGTTTTTGACACTCAAATAAACACATCGTAGTTTTTTAGTAAAAATTTCGTGTGATTTTTTTCTATTTAAAAAAAAATTTACAAAATAAGTGAGTGTTTTATAATTAAAATAAATTCACCATTTCTTCTTTAATTTTTTTAATCTATTTTATTATAAATAAATTACTTGAGTTAAAAAACTTTATTATTTCTTCAGAAGAAATATTTTAACCAGCCTGAATATTAATCAATTATTTTTAATATAAAATTTTTTTTATCTATCATGAATTTTTATTAATTTTGATTTATCGGTACTAAAATAACACACTTAATATTTCCTGGTTGAATAAAATTGTTTGACAGTTTAAAAATTACTTACTTTTAAATTATGACTAAAAAAAAATACCACTTATTAATATAAAAGTAACGAAACATTAATAAAACCTGAAAGAAAAATTATTCATTACTTTCAAAATTTTTTATTATTTCTTCTTTTTCATTTTTATTTATTTTAATTCTTATACTTGTTAAAATTTTTGTTAAAAATTATGTAACATTATTCTCAATTTTTTTATCATTTCTTCTTTTACATTGTTATTGTAATTTCTAATTTTTATTCATCGAGAATTTTATTTTAGTAATATATCTCGCCATTTTTAACTTTCAATAATTATTATTGATAAATATTTTTCATTGTTTTTTATTAAAAATATACTAAACTGTTTTTTACATTTCGTCCTTATTTCTTCTTTAATATTGTACCCTAAAATAAGAAATAAAAATAATTAACAATTTTTTTTTATCAATAAAAATAATGAAAATAATAATTATCACTATTAAAAGAACACACTTAATATTTCCAAGTAGAATAAAATTATTTGACAGTTTAAAAATGACTTACTTTAAAATTATTACTTCCAAAAAAAACCCACTCATTAATCTATAAGTAACGAAACATTAAAAAAACCTGAAAGAATTTTTTTCATCACCTAAGATAAAGATCCAGAACAACTTGAAATTAAAATTAATTCCAATTGCAATAAATTATTAAAAAGCAATAAATAATCGATATTATTAAGAGAATAAGCAAAATTTTGTGGCAAGTGTATTTATATTACAAAATGGGTTTTTATGGTGAAATTTAGTATCGTTGGAAAAGTCTTGACCTGGAGTTGTGTCTTTTCATGGTTTCATATCATCCTCACCAATAGTCAATTTATGATGATAAGTATTTAGGCTGCATTTAAAAATGCTCTATGATGAGTGTAACATCAGGATGAGCTTATATCTTTGAAAACATCAATAGTTAAGAAAGTACAGTACAATTTAACAAATATCTTGTGAAATATTGACATTTTTAAAAATATAAGCTCATCTCGAAATTACACTCATCAAGACCTTTCATTTGAGTACCCACATTAATTTTTTATATATTTTATAAATATATATATATTACATATATGAATATATGAAAAATATATCAAAAACGCATGTGGGTACTCAAATGAAAGCTCTTGATGAGTGTAACATCAGGATGAGCTTATATCTTTGAAAACATCAATAGTTAAGAAAGTACAGTACAATTTAACAAATATCTTGTGAAATATTGACATTTTTAAAAATATAAGCTCATCTCGAAATTACACTCATCAAGACCTTTCATTTGAGTACCCACATTAATTTTTTATATATTTTATAAATATATATATATTACATATATGAATATATGAAAAATATATCAAAAACGCATGTGGGTACTCAAATGAAAGCTCTTGATGAGTGTAACATCAGGATGAGCTTATATCTTTAAAAACGTCATTAGTTAAGAAAGTACACTGCAATTTAACAAAAATCATTATTAAATAGACAAAATTTTATTTAATTACAGTTCACAAGTCACGGCAGTCACATAGTGACTGCAATATTGCTAGTAAAAATATTAATCCACTAACAGCAAAATCTTGATTTACTTCTTCCGTGAATATTTTTACTTTCATTAAATAAAAACTTCTCGGAAATAAATCTAAACACTTATCTCAGCACATATTAGCATTAATCAGTTTAAATAGAGCCATGTAACGCATTACATTCAATAACGTCGGATATGTTAAGTTAAACATGCTTTCTTTCCTCAATTTGAATATATGGCGGATTGCATGTTAATTATTAGCATAATTAATTATTCTGTGACGGTGCGTTAAATTTCTCGCATAGAACAGCGCTCTTTGATTGATTATGTCTTAAGTTCAAATTCTTCAGTCAAATACTTTCTTAGTTTCGCATATCAATCATTGTCTTACTCTGAATTCATCTTTGTCTTTCAATAGCAATTCTTATATAGGTACATTTAATACTATTCTTTTTTAAATATTTACACTGGTTGTAAATGTTTCCAAGAGAAAAATAGCTACCGCATGACAGCACTCGTGTAATGTATACTCATACCTACTTATTATATTCAGTGCATCAATTTAACGGATTCACGAGCGCGTACTCCACTCTGTGTTGTTATTATTTTATTTTATACATTTTATAAATTTATCAAGTCTAATGAGTTTTTAAATACTTGATCTTCATATTTAAAATATTCAATGAAGAAAACAATAAATATTAAAATAATCAAAACGAATATTTAATTACTAAATACTAATTGCTGCTCATTAGTATTCAAACAATTAAATTCTTCTCTTAAAACTGTCGATTAGTTTCTAGAAAATTTATTACAAACGAAATAACAAGTATGCAAATTACTGATATTTTTATTAAACAATGTGTGATAAATGGAGGAGGTATTCAAATGTAATATTGATAAAATATATGCAATTATCGAGACGAATCGTTCATGGATGTGTGAATTGAGATTGAAGAAAGTTGTTTAACGATACAATTCTCTTACTTTGACTTGATAGTTGTTAAGTAGTAAATAATAATAGGAACGTTGATTTTACTTCATGGATCGGATCTTTGTTCCTTTTTAATTTTATATATACGCCTTCAAGCTTTTCCTTTCGTTCTATTGTCTGCTATTATTTTTATTCTTCATTTTATTTATAAATTCTATTTTTATTATTACTTGTATTTTTAAACCTGGATATTAATTTTTTATTATTTCTTTTTCATTTTTATTTTTTTATTATACCACACTACTTTTAATTTTTAATATTTATCTTCCAACTTAGCTAAAAATTATTCATTGTATTTAACATTTTTTCAATTGTTCACAATTTCTTCTTTAGTATTCTTATATTTTTATTATACCTCGCTATTTTAATTTTCAGTATTGATCTTCCAACTTTTGATAAAAATCATTAATTATATTTAACATTGTTCAATTTTTTCTTCTTCATTTTTATTTTTATTCTTATATTTTCATTATATCTCGCTATAATAAATTTTTTATATTAATTTTTCAATCTTTATTAAAAATCATTCATTGTATTTAAAATTTTTTTCAATCTTCTATTATTTCTTCTTTTGTATTTTTATTTTTATATTTTCTTTATATATACTTCACTATTTTTGATTTTCAATATTGATCTTCCAATTTTTGCTAAAAATCATTCATTGTATTTAACATTTTTCTCAATTTTTTATTTCTTCTTTTCTATTTTTATTTTTATGTTTTCATTATACCTCGCTATTTTTAATTTTCAATATTGATCTTCTAATTTTTAATAAAAATCATTAATTATGTTCAACATTTTTCTCAATTTTTTATAATTTCTTCTTTTCCATTTTAATTTTCAATTTTTATACATCTAGAATTTTATATTAATTATATCTCGCTATTTTTAAGATTCAATAATTATTTTTAATAAATATTCTTCATTATTTTTAGATTAAAAATATTCTAAACTGTCTTTTACAGCTCGTTATTATTTTTTCTTCAATATTGTAACTTAAAATAAATAATAAAAAATAATTAATAATTGTTACAGCAAACAATGAACCGCATGACCGTGATAGCTTGAATGAAACTGGAAGCACAACAGGCGGCACAGCAGAGGGCAATCCAGGAAACAATCGCAGTGATAAAGCTGGCCCTAGTGAACCAGCAGATACTAATCAAAGTGCTAAACCAACTTCCACGACGGCACCACCTCGATCTCTTGTTTCTAGGATTCTCGCACGCGCGAGATCTCCTGATGATCTTCTAGACCAACCAGAGCCTTAGTAAGTTTTTTATTAAAAAAAAAAATATTACAATATAATTAAAAGAAAAAATTTCACACGTAAAATATTTAAAAAATTGTACGTGCAATTTTTTTTAAGTATTTTTTTTTTTACTTGTAATTTAATTGTTAAAAAAAAATCAAAAATTGTTAAACTTTGACTAATTTAAATTAATAATTTTTAATTAATTATTCTTTTTTTTTTTTAATTATCAAAAATTAAAAGTAAAAATATTTAATCTAAATTATATTTCTTCTAGCTCCCAACTATGGATTGTCCTGTCAAACGTCTACGGAGAGCTGATAATAGTTCTCATGATGGCTCTGTGCCTAGCAGAAGTAATGGATACTCCTGTTCAACTATTAACCCTCCAGGTAAACCTCGTAATTTTCAGCACATAGTTAATGCGAATCAAGGCACATGTCCTGACGAACTCGTGCTCGGTATCTAATCACTCGATCGCGACGTAAGATTTCTAATTCGCTTGTATTTGCGAAGTGAAATCGCAGTACGATAAAGGCGCTTGTCTTATATGTACTCACTGTTTGTATTATCAAAACTTGATACTGTTCTATTCTTTTGTATTATTGTATTATAGGTTTATTATACAGTGTAGATAGTAAGGATTGTTAATTTTATTTTGATAACAACTGTTAAACCGGAAGTCTGCTCCTTGATTATCTTTAGAAGTTTATATCTTCAGATTATCAAACTATCACTATCGGTTTCCGGTTAACGATGTATTATTAATATCCTTTTATTTTTTTTTAAGTAATTGAGAGAAAGTGTGCAACTTTATTCGATCTAACATTCACTTATCACCAGATTATTTTTCAAGTTCAATATTCATTATTAATTATAGAAAAAAAATTTATGTTGAAACATATTTTATATATTTGAATTCAATGATAATAATGATAGATAATTTAATTTTTTTATTTATTAAACTAGAACTAAAAAATATTTTTAAAAAATTGCAATTATAGTTTTTCAAGTTTTTTTACAATTGAACAATTTTGTTAATAATTTTTTCAATAAAGAAAATAATTAAATATCGGCTAACTTAATTTTCATTAATGATACTGAAATCAAGAGACATTTGATAATTTTTAGAAATTAATTTACTAATAAATTATAACAAAAATAAATTATTTTAAAAATTCTATCTTTAGAAGCTTTAAAAAATTATAAATGCAATTTTTTAGACTTAGTTTATAATTAAAAAAAATAAAAATATGACATGAAAATTAAATTAGCTAGCATGAGAAAATTTTTATGATTTTTTTATTTAAAAAAAAATTTGATATGAAAAAAATTTTAAAAATGTAAAGAGCAATTTTTTAAAAATATTTTTTATTGACTACAAAAATAAAAAAATTGTCTGCTAATTTTGAAAAAAAATTTCAGATAGTAGTTAGTATAATCCAGATTACAATGAGTATAATCCAGATATCAGGCATTATAATCTGGATTCTTCTAGCTACTATCTGAAACTTTTTTTTACCACAGATATCATTAAGTATAATCTTATTATATTCTGAGATGAGATTATAATCTGGGATGATATCCAGTGTCATCTTGTTTTTTCCGTGTTCCTTATTAAATAAAAATATTTAGAAATATTTCTTCAATGCAAAATGTATGCCTATGCATATATTATTAAAAACAAATCTTTTTTAATTTTTTTTTAAATTGTTTGATTCATTTTAAATCTTTTTTTTAGAGAATTGCCCACATACTTGAAATTTTCTGAACTAACCTTGTGGTTAGTAAAATAATTAAAAATTGTAAGATTCATTTAAAATTACTGATGTGAGTTCTAATTTAAGTTTTACAGGAAAGTAGAAAGTAATCGCAATCCACAAGGTGTAATTACACTTATTGCTTGACCTAGACCTTGATGGTTAACCAACATAAAAAATGCTACGTCTTGATAAATTCCATGAATCAGTTCTTAGGATAATTTCTTCCAAGACTGAAACTAAAAAGTTAAAATAAAATTAATTTATATTTTGTTCCAGAGTGTGTTCCTGATGTACCTCTACGTCGGAAGTATAATCGTAATAATAAGTATTTACCTGTGGGTGCTGGTCGACAGCTGTGGAAGTCTGTCAGGTAACAGAGATGACATCGAGCTCGGCGGGACCTCGCTCACAAGATTTGGTTCCCTAAAAAAAGCTCACATTTCACGGTCTCGCACCGCTCCAACAAGTTTCTACATCCGTGTCGGAGCTTTACGTAAGACCAAAGAAAAAAAAACTACTCTTATTTTTAAATAATTTTCATAACTAACTTGTTACTTAATTACAATTCTCCAGTATTCGGTCTGGCGACGCTGGTCTTCAATGGGTTGGAAATGGCGATGCATTCATTGATGCAAGGAGCTGAGTGTCTTAATGATATAGTTTTCGTTCACCCAGCTCTCCATGGGATGTTTACTTTTTTACAAATGCACTTTCTTTTTGTTAACTCACAGGTACGCTTACGTTTTAAAAAACTAGTTATTAAATATTATATAATGATTTTTGCGCTAGGTGTTGGTAGAGCGATTTGGATTAGCAGCAAGATTCGGTTTTATTCATTTAGCTGCTACAAATATCGCTGTTTGGGCACGTCTTGTTATTTGGGATTCTGCGTTAGAGTGGACGTACTTTGTACACTTAGCACAGAGAGGACAGGATCAGTCTTCTCTGAGTCTTAAAGGTCTTTCTGGATCACTTACTAGGCATACACGCGATATTTTTGGTAAGCTTCATTTAATTTGTTTTTAATTTTTGCAATATTAATTGAAAAAAAAAAAAAATATTTTTTCAGGACATTCTTCAGAATATGTCGTTGGAAAATACCAACCAATATCAGATGAAAAAATTGCACAGGTAGTTACTCTTCAAGAGTGCTTAAACACCAACACGTTAGGCCAATTATGGACATCAAGCATGTCATTTCTTTACCCTTTTATTGTACAATTTAGGTAAGTGAATTAATTTCAATTGATGAAAAAAAATAAATTTTATTAAATTAAAAAAAAATATTTTTTAGTTCTAATTTAATACATGAAAAAGTTTTAAATTTCATAAAAATTGATAGTTAAAAGGTCAATAGTTATGAAATTACTGTGCAATTTAACGAATATCTTGTGAAATATTGACATTTTTAAAGATAAAAGCTCATTCCGATGTTACACTCATCAAGACCTTTCATTTGAGTACCCACATCAATTTTTCATATATTTATATATATTACATATATGTATATATGAAAAATATATCAAAAATGCATGTGGGTACTCAAATGAAAGCTCTTGATGTATGTAACATCGGGATAAGCTTATATCTTTAAAAAGATCAATAGTTAAGAAAGTACATTGCAATTTAACAAATATCTTGTGAAATATTGACATTTTTAAAGATAAAAGCTCATTCCGATGTTACACTCATCAAGACCTTTCATTTGAGTACCCACATCAATTTTTCATTTATTTATATATATTACATATATGTATATATGAAAAATATATCAAAAATGCATGTGGGTACTCAAATTGAAGCTCTTGATGAGTGTAACATCGGGATGAGCTTATATCTTTAAAAACGTCAATATTTAAGAAAGTACAGTGCAATTTAACAAAAGTCATTATCCAATACAGCAATAATTAAAATTTTAATTTTACATTGCAGTTTAATAGCAGCAGCAGTGACGTTCGTGATGGGTCAAAACGTAGGAAGAAATCGTTTCTCCCACAAGCAAAAATTCCACAGCGTGAAAGACTTGACAGGTCACACGCGGGTAGGCTGCGACGGAGCAAGTAAAGGTCTCTTTCTGGGAATCTTAAGTATGACAGCCGGAATAGTAGTGATTTTAATCTTCTTGGTAGTACGTGAAGACGAAAACTTTCCACCTGCGACGCTGTCTTGGCTCACAAGCGGAACGCTGATAGGAATTTTGTCATTGAGCGGAGTAATGACAGCCAGTGGTCTCGTACAAGTAAGACAAATGTCGATAGTCTCGCGAGCACCTGCCTCGCTGGACAACATTTTGTCAAACATCGCAATCTTCGGTGTACAACTCTATTCCATATTTACCGCGGTGGTATGCGCCTGCTTCTTGGCAACAGTCGACGGCGAGCACGAGACAGACAGTCGCGGCCGACATATCATGCTGTTGACAGCGTCAGTGCTCCAGCTGGTCCAGTGTTTTGCTCAGAGCACACTGATAGCCGAGGCGTCAAAGAGATCTTGCATCACTCGGTACCAAATGATGACCAAGCCCGCCCGGCAAGTTATCACCTTTTTGCTGTTTAGCAATGCAGTGCTCTGGGCCTTTGACACAGTGGTCACTCAGAACTGGGTCTCGCAGGAGATCCAGCTCAGGTTCTTCGGCGTTCTGGCCTGGGGAATTATTTCTAGGATTTGTGTACCCTTGCTGGTGTTCTACAGATTCCACAGCTGTGTTTTATTGTTGGAGATCTGGAATAAATGCTACAGAACTCCTAGAGGAGAGTTGCCACTCAACTGACGGCACGTCTCGTCGCAACGTTCTAGGTACAGTCTAATAAATCTAGGAAAAAATTGCATTATTCTCTATTTAATTTAAAAAATATAAAAAATTCATAGTTAAAAATATCATCAGTGGACAAAATACATTATCATTTCTTAACCATTGACATTTTTTAAGATATAAGCTCATCCTGATGTTACGCTCATCGAGACCTTTCATTTGAGTACCCACATGCATTTTTGATATATTTTTCATATATACATATATATAATATATATAAATATATGAAAAATT